CGTCTCTGCTTCCATCTTTGGCATTACTGCTTCTCTGGGTGGGATCTCACATTCCAGTCTTCTCCCTTGATGGTTCCAGGGACCTTGGCTCCTGGACTCCATAGTCAATCACTCCCCTCCTTTTGCAACAAAATGTCCACCTTTATATTTCCAACCCTCGCAGTCAGTCCTGATAACAATTATTCACTATTGTACCACAAAGGACCTATCCCCATCTCCTTTCATTAGCCCCGCTCAGACAGATTGGATATTAGTGGAGACTCTACATTCCTCTGCACCCTCTGGATCTAGGTTCCCTCTTGGAAGCTTGGAAGCCAGTCATTTCTTGCCTTTGTAGCCCCCCTCCCCCATTTTGTGAGTAGCCAAAGTCCAAGTTGCCCATTCCTGTCTACTCTGTATATAGAGGGGGTGGAAATAATCCTCGTTGTAAAGATTTGTTCCCTCTTTTGAGCTACTGCATCCATAGGTGTAGGTCAAGTTCATCAAATTGTATCAGATTACTCTTTTTTTCCTCTTCTTTCTTCTTCTAGTTGAGCTCTGATCATCTAGTCATTGAAGCCAGGTCAAGTGGATATTATTTGCAAGTGTGGGTTTTCTTGTGCATATCCCCTCTCTTCTTATCAGCTGGATGCTTCACTCTCCAGTCTAGTCCTCTGTGACTATGTCACTGACTCCGGGCCCAAGAGTCCCCAGGTCTTGCCACACTGCTGACCAACCAGGTCTCCACCTGAGTTCACAGGAGTCAAATGTTGTAGGGCTTAGCTTGCAAGTTCATTGCTGTTTTTCCCTTAATTTCCCTTATCAGTGGCAAACATGGTACTCTTTATCATGTTTAAATAGTCAATATTCTGGTGATATCTGACAGTGCTCCACTGCTATTCATAAGGTTTTCAGTGACTAAATAGTTGAAGTAGTGCATCTTTCCTAGTTCCTAGTCTGTCTTCATCTGGAAGCTCATCTTAAACCTGTCCATCATGTGTGACCCTATTGGCATTTAAAATACCCATGGCATAGCTTCCAGAATCACCATAACATGCAATCCATCATAGTATGGCAAACTGACCTCAAAATAGAGGTGACTTTAATGACATAGGTGAAGTAAAACTTTAGGGACCTTCACTTGCCTGTGGGACTTGACTCAAATAGAGAAGAAACAGCTGCAAAGAACCATTAATAACCAGAACAAGTATATTTTCTAGGAAATTTGTAAGTTGTCAAAAATAAAATGGAATGCTTGAATACTGATATCCTAGACACTGTTGTTGTTAATTGGCATTGAGTTGTTTCTTACCCATAGTGACTTTATATGTGGTTTCTGAGGAGTTCCTGGTGAGATTGAATCACCAACCTTACAGTTCAAACCAAGCTTGCGGTTGAGTACTTAACTTGCAGTGCCTCACTAGGACTCCATTATAGGCATTAACAAGTTGAAATTGATTGGTATTTGTCATTTTGAATCAGACAGTTAGATGATCTAATTTTCCAGGCATGACAAACTGAAGAGAAATGAATTAAAACTCATCATCAAAAAGAACGTTTCAAGATCTATCCTAAAGTACAGCATTGTCAGTGATAGGATAATATCCATAGTCCTGCTAGGAAGACCAGTAATATGATTAGTATTCAAATTTGAACAACTAATACCACTAATGCCAAAGATGAAGAAATTGAAGATCATTACTAATTTTTGCAGTCTGAAATTAATCAATCATGCAATGAAAATGCATTGATAATTACTAGTAATTGGAATGTTAAAGTTGGAAACAGAAGGACCAGCAGTTGGAAAATATGTCTTGGTGAGATAAATGGCTCCAAAGATTGCATGACAGAATCTTGTAAGACCACCAAGTTAATCATTAAAAATACCTTTTTTCAACAACATAAATGGCTATAGGATAATATCCATGCACCTACAAGAAAGACCAGTTAAAAGCCAGTGTTGATGAAACTGAAGAATTCTACCAACTTCTTCACTCTGAACTTGATCAAACTTATAATAAAAAAGCATTGATAATTACTAATGATTGGATTGCAAAGGTTTAAAATGAAGAAGAAGTATCCAAAGTTGGAAAATATGGCCTGGTGATAGAAATGATTCTGGAGATCGAATGGTAGAATTTTGCAAGACCAATGACTTCTTCATTGTAAATACCATTTTTAAATTACATAAAAGATGAGCATACACATGGAACTCAAATAAACTTGATGACATCTGTGGGAGAGATGGTGGATAAGCTCCATATCATCAGCCAAAATAAGGCCAAGGGCAGACTGTGGAACACACCATCTAATTGCTCATATGCAAGTTCAGGCTGAAGCTGAAGAAAATTAAAACAAGTCTATGAGGGCCAAAATATGACTTTTACCATATCCCACCTTAAGAACTGATTTGATGCATTAGACACTAATGACCAAGGACCAGAAGAATTGTAGGTTGACATCAAGAACATCATGCAGGAAGAAAGTAAAATATCATTAAGCAGACAAAGAAAAAGGAAACGACCAAAATAGATGTCAGAAGAGACTCTGAATCTTGCTCTCCAGTGTAAAGATGCTAAAGCAAATGGAAGAAATAAGGAAGTCAAAGAGCTGAAAAGAAAGTTTCAAAAAGCAGCTCAAGAAGACAAAATCAAGTATTATAATGAACTGTGCAAAGACCTGGAGTTAGTAAACCAAAAGGAAAGAACACCTCAATATTTCTCAAGGTGAAACAACGAAAGAAAAATTCAAGCCTCAACTTTCAATATTGAAATATTCTATAGGTAAAATATTGAATACTGCAGGAAGCACCAAAAGAAGATGGAAAGAATACACAGAGTCGCTTTACTAAAAAGAAATGGTTGATGTTTAACCATATTAAGATGAAGAGCCAATGGTACTAAAAGAAGATGTCTAAGGTGCCCTGAAGGCATTGGCAAAGAATAAGGGTCCAGGAATTGATGGAATACAAATTGAAATCCTCAACAAACTGATGCAGCACTGGAGGCACTCACTCATCTATGCCAAAAAAAATTTGGAAGACAACTACTTGGCCAAATGATTGGAATTGATCCATATTTGTGCCCATTCCCAGGAGAGGTGACTCAACAGAAAGCATTAATCATTGGACAGTATCATTAATATCGCATGCAAGTAAAGTTTTGCTAAAGATAATTCAAAAGTAGCTGTAATAGTACATTGACAGGGTATTGACAGAGGTTCAAGCTGGATTCAGACAATGGCGTGGAATGAAGGATATTCCTGCTGATTTCAAATGGATCTTGACTTAAAGCAGAGAATACCAAAAAGATGCTTACATGTGCTTGGTTGACTATGCAAAGGCTTTTGACAATGTGAATCACGAATGTGGAACAAGGGATATTCCTGCTGATTATAAATGGATCTTGGCATAAAGCAGAGAATACCAGAAAGAAGTTTACCTGTGCTTGGTTGACTATGTAAAGGCTTTTGGCAGTGTGAATCATGACATGTTACGGACAACATTATGGAGGATGAGTATTCTGGACTACTTGTACTCGCAAAAGACCTGTACAAAAACCAAGAGGCAGAAATCCAAACAGGACAAGGGGACCCTGCAAGATATAAAATCAGGAAAGGTGTGCACCAAGGTTGCATTCTTTCACCATACTTATTCAATCTGTACATTAAGCAAATAATATGTGAAGTTGGATTATATGAAGAGGAATGTGGCATCAGGATTGGAGAAAAGTCTCATTAACAACCTGTAATATTCAGCTGATACAACCTTGCTTGCCAAAGAGACTTAAAAGTGTTACTTACGAAGATACAGACCACAGTCTCAGTATGGGTTGCACTTCAGTGTAATGAAAACAGTGGTGAGCTACTAGACCAATAAATAACATCCTGATAAATGTAGAAACGATAGAAGTTGTCACAGACTTAATTTGCTTAGACCCACTATGAACACTCATGAAAGCAGCAGACAAGAAATCAAATGAGAAATTTGCATTTGGCAAATCTGTTGCAAAAGACCTCTTTAAAGTGTTAAAGAGCAAAGATGTAGTGTGAGGACTAAGAGGTGCCTGACTGGTATTTTAAATAGCCTCATAGTGATGCGAAAGTTGGACAGTGAAAAAGGAAGCTTTGATGCATTTGTGTTGGAAGAAGTATAGCCAGAATGTTCCTTAGAAGAGCAAAAGGCGTGAGACTTTCATACTTTGGACATATTATCAGGAGGGACCAGTCTCTGGAGAAGGACATCATGTTTGGTAAAGTCATGCTTGGTCAGCGAAAAAGAGGAAGACCCACAACAACATGGATTCTCACAATGGCAGCAGCAATAGACTCTGACTTAACAAGGATCGTAAGAATGGCACAGGACTGGGCAGTATTTTATTTTTATGCATAAGACCTCTGTGAATCAGAACTGACTTGACAGCACCTAACAAATTTACAGTTAGACCTCACCAGATAGAATACACAGGTATCAACACACTATATCTGTGCAGAGATGGTGGTGGTTGTGGTTGTGTGCCTTCTAGTGGGTTCCAACTCATAGTGACCCCAGGCTGTAGAAATCTTTACATGAGTAGAAAGACTCATCTTCTTCTCAAGGAGTGGCTGGCTGGTGGATTTGAACTGCTGACCTAATGGTTAGCAGTCCAACTCGTAACCCATTATGTAACCTGAGCTCCTTAAAGAGATAATGGAGAAGCTTAATGTCATCAGCCAAAACGGATTGGATCCAACTAAAAAACAGACCATAAATTGCTCATATACAAGTTCAAGTTGAAGCTGAAGAAAATGAATACAAGTCAGTGAGAGCAAATACAGGATGTTGAGTATATCCTACCCGAATATAGAGACCATCTCAACAATAGATTTGACACATTGAACATTATTGTCCAAAGACCAAATGAATTGTGGAATGATATCAAAGTCATCTTAATTGAAAAAAAAAAAAAAAAGATCTTTAGAAAGACAAGAAAGAAAGGACAAAAATTGATGTCACGAAGTGCCGTAACGCACGCGCCTCTTAGCTCCTAGTCTCACCGACCCTGCTGTGGTCCTGGTGGTTTGGAAACTTAAGTTCCACGAGCAGAAGCTGCTGAAGCAGGTAGACTTTCTGAACTGGGAGGTCACTGACCACAACCTGCACGAGCTGATTGGGCTGCGCGAGGACTGCACGCCTTACAACCAACTGAGCCATGTGGTGCGCCGACTAGCTGGGCGCCTATGGGACCTGCAGAGAACGTCCGGTTTCACATTTGCTCCTCTGTAGCGTTGCTGTATAATTTGCATGCTCTAGGCCTGGTACTCATGCGTGGTTCTCTTGAGCTCTGCGACTTCATCACGACTTCGTCCTTCTGCCATCACCACCTGCCCACTGTGCGCCTCAAGCTGCCGTGGCACAGCACCTTCAGGCCTCCGTGGCTTTCATAGAGCAGGGCCAAGTGCACTTAGGACCCGACCAACCACGCCTTCTTTGTCACGTGCAGCATGGAGGACTTCCTCACATGTATGGACTTGTCCAAGATCAAGCGGCATGTGCTGGAGTTCAATGAGGAGCGAGACAACTTAACTCTGGTAGCCTAGCCAGACTCTATTTCCACGGCTGCGTTTTACAGCTGCGAAAACTCAGGCTAGATGCTGGAGAGCCTCTGAGAGAACCGCTCCCAAGAATGTAAGCTGGACTTAGGTGCCCTTGCCTCTTAGGAAACTCTTGGCTCTTAAGCGGCTGGCTAGGGGTGGGGAGTACACCCCTGTCTCCCGGGAAATTTTCCTAAGAAGTTGAACTACTGGGAATGAAATCGAAGACACTGCTTTAAGAATGGAAAGTGGATTTGTTCTGTTCTGGAGAATGAACTTCTTGTTCCCCAAAGACTGTAGTCTTAAAGCCAGGACTTTCACACACTTCCATGCTACCCCTCACCCAGACTTTCCCTTTCAACTTGTAGCAGGACGGTTTGGTCCGAATTAACTTGAATTCTTGGTGCCTGATGGTGCTGGGTAAGGATGTTGGGGAGTTTGGTCTCCCAAGTTTTCAGAAAATGGCTCCAACTTAAATAAATAGCCTAATTGTTTTGTAAAGTGCAACTGTCTGCCTGGTTTTCTTCCATAAGTTCATATATGTAGGTCTTCTTAATTCAGGAACCCAGAGACGAGAAATAGGATCCGTGGTGACCTGCCTGTGGGTGAGGCCTATAACGAGCGGCATACGAAGGCTGCAGGATGTTGCTCAGCAGAGCACATTTGTTGGTTTATCAATCCCTTCCTCTGAATGAATGTCCTGGCAGAGCTCTTTCCCGCAGGACTTCCTGTTGATACTGCAGCCCCTGGACATGCCACTGCAGTGTTTGCTTGTGGAAAGGAAATCATCAATCACCCTGTAGTTTGGCCATCTAGTGATTAGAAGCAGCCTGGGCAGTTCCTAGAAAATTAAGTGTTCTTAAACATTCTTAGGAGTACTAGGGACTCCTACTAAATGTTCAGATTCCTTTCCCTTGTCTAAGGGAAGCTTGCATAATGCCAATAAATAGCCTGAATTCTTTGTTGTTGTTGTTGTTTTAAAAAAAAAAAAAGTTGATGTCACAAGAGACTCTCGATGTGAAAAGAAGAGATGATGAAGTAAAAGAGTTGAACAGATTTCACAGTCAGCTTGAGAAGACAAAATAAAGTATTGTAATGACATGTGCAAAGACCTGAAGTTGGAAAACCAAAAGGATTTTCCAAAACATGCTCAGCCTTTCTTCAAGCCACTAATTGTAATATTGAAGACTTTGGGAAAAAAATACTGAACGTCACAGAAATAACCAAAATAAGTTGGAAGAAACACATCCAACAATTTCTGAAGATAGCATATAATCAAGAATCAAGGATATTGAAAGAAAAAGTTCAAGCTGCACTGAAACCATTGGTGAAAAACAAGTTTCCAGTAACTGACAAAAGACCAATTGAAATGATTCAACAAACAGATGCTGTACTGGAGGTGTGCACTCATCTATGTCAAGAAATTTGGAAGAAATTCCTTGCCAACCAACTGGAGGTCCATACTTGTACCCATCACAAACAAAGGTGATCTAACAGAATGCAGAGATTATCTATCAATATTAATATCACACACCAAGTAGAATTTTGCTGAAGATAATTCAAAAATTGTTGCAATAGTACGTTGACAGAGTGCTGCCAGAAATTAAAGCCTGACTTAGAATAGGATGTGGAACAAGGGGCATCATTGCTGATGTCAGATGGATCTTGGGTGAAAGCAGAGAATAACCAAAAGATGTTTACTTGTCCTTTATTAACTTGGAAAAGGTGCTTAACTGTGTGGATTATAAATTATGGGAATTCCAGAACACTTAACTGTGCTCATGATGAATCTGTACAAAGACTAAGAGAGGCGGTTGTTTGAACTAAATAAGGAGATACTGAATGGTTTAAAATCAGGAAAGGTGTGTGAAGGGTTGAATCCCTTTACCATAATTATTCAATCTTTATAATGAGCAAATAATCCGAGAAACTGGACTATATGAAGAAGAATGTGGCATCAGGATTGGAGGAAGATTCATTAACAACCTGTGGTATGCACATGACACAACCTTGTTTACTGAAAGTGAACAGGACTAATGCATTTTCAGATGAAAATCCAAAAATACAGATTTTAAATGGATTACACCTCAATCTGCTGTGCATAAGGTCGTTATGGGTCAGTACCAACTCAATGGCACCTAAAACAACAACAACAACATAATATTTTTAAAATCCTCACAATTGAACCAAAAGGCAACATCACAATAAATGTTGAATATTTTATTTTAATTGGATCCACAATCAGTGTTCATGGAAGCAGCAGTAAGAAATCAAAAGAGAGATTGAGGATTGAGTTAGACACATATGTTGCAAAAGACCTCTGCAAAGTGTCCAAAAGCAAAGATGTTACCTTGAGAACTAAGGTGTGCATGACCAAACCCATGGTGTTTTCATTGTATTCATATGTGTATGAAAGCTGGACAGTGAATAGGGACGACTGAAGAATTTATGCCTTTGAATTGTGGTGGTGGTGGTGGAGAATATTGAATATATTACAGACCACCAGAAAAATGGAGAAATCTGTGTTGGAAAAAGTACAGCCAGAAAGTGAGACTTCATCTCACATACTTAGGACGTATGTCAGGAGACATTAGTCTCTGGAGAAGGACATCATGCTTGGTAAAGTTGAGGGTCAATGAAAAAAAGAAAGACCCTCAGTGAAATAAACTGACATAGCAGCTACAAGAATAGCCTCAACCTAGCAATGATTATGAGGATGGATCTTAATAACATACACGAAGTATGAGAGATGAAGTCTCACAGTCTTACCGTCCTGACTTCTAAGGAGAACTCTGGCTGTAATTCTTCCAACACAAATCTGTTTATTCTTCTGACAGTGCATGGTGCTTTCAATTCTTCTCCAAAACTATAACTCAAATGCATCAATTCTTATACGGTCTTTCTTATTCATTGTCCAATTTTCACATGAATATGAGGCTATTGAAAATACCATGGTTGAGTCAGGCTCACCTTAGTCCTCCAGCTGACATCTGTGCTCTTGGACACTTTAAAAAGGTCTTGTGCAGCTGATTTGCCTAATCCAATACATCGCTTGATTTCTTGACTACTGCTTCCACGTGTGTTGATTGTAGATACAAGCAAAATTAAATCTTTGACAACTTCAATCTTTTCTCCATTTATCATGTTATTTATTAGTCCAGTAGTGAGGATTTTCATTTTCTTTACATTGAGATGCAATCCATACTGAGGTCTGTGGTCTCTGATCTTCATCAATAAGTATTTAATGTCCTCTTTACTTCCTGCAAGCAAGGTTGCATCATCTTAGTATTGCAGATTGTTAATGAGTATTCCTCCAATCTTGATGTCAACTTTTTCTTCATATAAACCAGCTTCTTGGATTATTTACTCAGCATACAGATAGAATAAGTACAGCGAAAGGATACAACACTGGCACACAGCTTTCCTGATTTAAACCATGCAGTACCCCTTGCTCTATCCAAATGACTGCCTCTTGCCTATTTACAGGTTCCTCATGAGACCAATTAAATGTTCTGGAATATTCATTATTTGCAATGTTATCCATAGCCTGTCATGACTGACTTAGTCGAAAGCCTTTGCATAGTCGATCAAGGACAAGTAAACATCTTTCTGGTATTCTCTGCTTTCAGCCAAGATCTATCTGTCATCAGTAGTAACGTCAATAGTTCCATGTCCTCTTCTTAATCCAGCTTAAAATTCTGGCAGTTCCCTGTCTATGTACTGCTACAGCCATGTTTGATTTATATTCAACAAAATTTTACTTGCATGGGATATTAATGATATTGTTTCCATGATTTCCACATTCTGTTGGGTCATCTTTGGAATGGGCACAAATATGGATCCCTTCCAGTCAGTTGACCAGATGGTGGTAGTGGTAATGTGCCGTGTAGTCGGTTCCAACTCATAGTGACCCTGTATAGGGTTTCCAAAGCTGTAATTCTTCATGGGAGTGGAAGGCCTCATCTTTTTCCTGTGGAATGACTGGTAGTTTCAAGCTGCTGACCTTGAGATTAGCAGTCTGACTTGTAACCACTATACTACCAGAGCTCCTACTTGACCAACTATGGGCAAAATATTGAATGAACATCAAAAGAAGATGGAAGGTATACACAGTCACTGTACCCAAAAGAAATAGTGTATGTTCAACCATTTCAAGAGGAATTCACCCCAGCTATGATAATAAAGGAGCTCTGGTAGCATAGTGGTTATGAATTGGGCTGCTAACCTCAGGGTCAGCAGTTTGAAACTACCAGCTGTTCCACAGGAGAAAGATGAGGTTTTCTGCTCCCGTAAAGATTTACAGCCTCGGAAACCCTGTACAGGGTCGCTATGATTTGGAACTGACTCCACGGCACATAAAAACAACATTATAATATAGGAGTCCTGGTGTGGCGCTGTGGGTTAATGCGCCAGACTGCAAAGCCATTTGAACTCCCAAGGTTGGTGGTTCAAGCTCACCAACTGCTCCTTGGAAACCCTATACAGGGTTGCTATGGGTTGGAACTGACTCGACGACACTTAACAATAACAACAACATTATAATATAGGAGTCTTGGTGCCGTGCTGTAGGATAAGCACTGGATTGTAAGGTCAGTTTGAAACACAAGGTCAGCAGTACAAACCTACCAACCATTCCTTGGAAACCCTATACAGGGTTGCTATGAGTCACTTGATAGCACTTAACAATGGCAAATTAAAGTATAAATGTTATATATTGTTGCTGGTGTTTTTGTGTGCCGTTGAGTCGGTCCCGACCCATAGAAACCCTTTATAGGGTTTCTGAGGAGCAGCTGGTGAGTTTGAACCACTCACCTTGAAGTTCAAACTGACTCTTCAGTCTAGTATATTAACCCACAACATCACACCAGGACTCTATTTATAGTCTAATATAGCTATTACTGGGTTCCTGGTGTGGTGCTGTAGGATAAGCATTAGGCTGCAAACCACAAGGTAGGTGGTTCAAACCCACAAGTCATTCTTCAAAAACCCTGTACAGGGTCTCTATG